CCCCCCGCCGTTTAACAGTGGATGAGAATGATGTTTGAAAATAAGCTCGCCAGTCTAGTAGGTAAAGGGTTTCTCAGTGCTCATTTAGAATACCTGAGAGAGTTATTGTTCCTTGCAATCAAAAGGAGCAATAGAATTTTCATTGAAACTGTTCTAGACTTCCTCTTAGGCTGAAATATGGACGCTTAATGTAAAGGATTTTTTTTCTTTTTTTTTTCCTTCCCCTTCCCTCCCTTGAGCAATATTTTACACAGTTCAAATTCTGGAGGAAGATGTAACTGCAATGAATAGTTCATAATTGTCTGTATTGAAATTAGTTCAGGAAACAGGTTATTTTAAATAAATACCCTTTAAATCTGAATTTTCTGCAGTGGATCAAAATGCATTTTATGTCTTTTGTTAAGTAGCAAGTCATTCATTTTGCACAGCTATAAATTGTAACCCATATAAAGAGGCTGACAAAAGAGAGATGGTCCTGACATGTACAAGCAGTTTCTGTTCTAGATCTAGCCATAGTGTCTTGTTCAAGCCAACCAGCCTGGTCCAAATAGGGTATGCTGGAATGAGAACTATTCTTAGCTCTTGGATGTATACTTGGAAACTAAGTAGGGTAGTTGGTGTTCCAAAAGTGATGGCTCCCTTGAGAGAAAAGAGGTGACAGAGATACTAAGCTCGTTACTGGTTTGGAAGAGAGTTTACCACATTTACTATAACCTACACATTTTGAAGAAATATGGTTTCCTGTACAGATTTTATTCAAACTACACATACTTATATGAATCAGTGGATGAATTAATTATTTTATAGAGCACAGTTGTTTGGAACAGGCTGGATTTTGTGTTATGGCAAACTTGAGACAGATCAGACTTTGGTGTTAAGACCACTAAATGAGCTAATTCTGTGTTTAATATATTTCAGCTAATGGAGTGCTGCGTCAATGCCCTGGTGACATCTTTTAAAGAGACTATTTTAGCTGAATGCCAAGGCATGATCAAACGAAATGAAACAGAAAGTAAGTGAAGCTTCAAGAATAGTGCAGGATGAACTCAGCATCAACTGCATAAAAATAGATTTGTTAGTAGATATATCAAATTACTGTTTTTAATAGATGGTGGCAGTGTTTTGTAGATAAAATATTACTGCATGTGGGCAATTTTATCCCACAAAAAATGACCATCATTGGTTAGTGGTTTTTTTTTTTATATCGCTTCTGAAATCTGTATGTGCAATACCCTAATTTGAATGACTGGATAGCTCTCATCTTACTTGAAAGAAAAGACTATTTTGTGCTCTATTTTCTTTATTTTCCTACAACTTATTTTCGTCATGTTCACCAACTCTGGTAAATATTGCATGGGTCTTATTTTCTATTTGAATAGTTCAGATACAGACACTCCCCATTCACTCCACCCCCACTACCTCCTTCCCCCTGGAAAAAAAGTGAAGCACCTCTTTACAAAGCTGTTTTTCTGAAAAGCAGGGAGAAATATTTCTTATTCTGTTAGTGCAGGACCAATAGGTCAATGAACAAAATCTCTGCAAGTTTTTTCATCTGGCTTCATAGCCAGTATATCACCGTGAGTATTGAGCTCTGCATGCCTTTTTAAAGTTTTCAGAAGTTTTTTTTAACTCTGCTGCCATAAATTGAGAGGTTAGTGTGACTGAAAAGTCTTGTGTTGGTCCTGCATGATAACCAAACTAAGTCAGTCATTAAAATGTCATCATTCAAGTAGGGAATTTGAAAAAAATAAAAGCTGAAATCACAGGTTAATTTTTTCTTTTTTCCCCTGAAGCCAGGGGATATTTACTAATGTCTATATGAAGTTTTCATGTCTATGCAAATGTGAAAACTGTTTTATGACTTAGAACAGTGTAGAAATACTTCCAAAGCTAGCATTTCAGAAAATATTTGACCTCAAAACTATGTCATACTGATCTGTTCATCTAGCAGCATGATTTCTGGCAGTAGTCCAGAGCTAAATCTAGAAAGCCACCAGACTTCTTATGAGTATATGTTACAGCCTTTGGGAGAATACAGGAGGCTTATTTAAATGCAGAGCTTCAGAAGGCTTCATCTATCGCATCCAAAGCATCTTTCTTTAGAAACTTGTTGAAGTATTCACACCGTCCTCTTTCCTTGTGGCTACGTCTGCCCCATGATACTGCTTGGTTGCAAAATACTTCCATTTAGTATATGAGAACTCAAGTATCTCTTTCAAATCTTCTGGCTGCTCCCCCCCACCCCCACCCCACCCCCCGAATTGTATCTATACTGTTTAAAATGTTTTAATGAAGGATGCAGGTGCAGATGATTAAAAATTTATTTAAAGACTGGAGCTACACGTTGTAATATATATATCTGATAGTATCCTCTGCTGTACTTCGTTTAGCATGTCTCTTTCTGATACTATTCACTCCAAAGAATTTAATGATGTTTGCTTTATTAAGCAGCATCTGACAAAAAAGGGCTGGGTTTTTTGGCTATGAGCTGGGTACTACTGTAAAATACTCTGTTATATTAAGTACTTAATATTTACATGCAGTACAAAGCAAGGAAGTCATAATGTTTTCCAATTAAAAACTATCAAAGATGTCATAAATTGCAAACACTCTTCAGAATTGGCTTAGTGCGTTTTGGTTTGCTTACAATATTGGGGTTGGGAGGCCTAAATTCTATTTCTGAAGTAACAGGAATAAAAAGTTAACTTGGCTTTTGTGTATACAGAATGAAAACAGAACTTTTTTAAGTGCCCCAACAACTACGATAAGGATTTCTTTACCTTTCAGTGTCATAATGTGTTCTGAGAGAAATTCCAGTGAAATGTTCCTTTTGGTTTTGTTACTTTGAAATCTGTCTTTGAAGAATCTGTTTTTTTCAGGTTCCTACAGTTTTAGGGATGCACCTGAAGTCGTCCTTTGACACTGTTTATTAGGAGAAGCCAATGAATTTTTTCTTGAATTATTCATGCCATCACTAGTTTACAGAAACATCTGTAGAACCCTTTAATATATCTTTTTGTTTCCTTTTTTCCACCATCTCTTCCTCCCTCTCACCCTTTTTTAAAGTAGAAATTAAAAAGATCCAGTAAAAGTTGAGTGAGCTTTTTGGACTTACCCTGTGTAAAACAGCACTGCCATCACTTACAGTACATCTAAATTGCCCTGAGAATACCTCTGACTCCATTTTTTTCTGGTTCCTGAAATCCCATCATTTAGCATTGCAAGTTCTTGTTGAAGGTTTTTGGTAGTTTCCATTCTTTGATTTGCATTGTTATGTTCTAAAAGGATTTTTTTCTTCTCTGTGCATTGCTTTTGTATTTAGTTCTGCAGCAGTTGTTGGTATACAGAAGTTGATAACATTTCACTCTCAGCGGTGATAGAATCTTGATGTTGCTGACGAAAGTATTGCAGAGGAGAAAACAAAGACAGGGCCTCTGGTTTATGTCCCCTTTCACAGTAGATACAGCATTGAGGAACTAAGCCAATGTATGAATTTTTTTTTCTATCAAAAAAAGAATCAGAGTCCATGATCAGTTTGTTCTACTTCGTTAAGCAGAGTCTTTTGCTGTGTTTAGTTCAAATCTCTGTGGTGTCTCTAAAACAATCTGGTGGCCTTAATCCAGGTGTTCCTTTGTGGACAGCTTTGTCAAGGTGATTATCTATGTTTCAGTACCTTTTTTTTTTTCTTTTCTTTTTTTTTAAAAGCAGTGTTGAAATGCTTTCACAGAAAAGTAGACAAATAAACCATATCAGTTTTTAAAGTTTTTGAACTCATGACTTTCAGAAAAACTAAATAAACTCTTTAGGAAAAAGGAGGGAGAGAGAAAGGAGAAAATGCTGTTTACTTTAGTCAGTTTTGGTTACTTTAGAATTTGGCATGCTTTTAATTAAAACAAAACATTGTGGATGCTATTGGAAGATACACAAAGACAGCTCTGTTTGGCTTTAATTTAAAAAAAAAAAAAAATCTTGAATCCATACAGTTTCCTGCATAAACTCCTGTAGGCTTCCAACTGAAATGGGAATCACATTTTTGCCAGGAATTGTAAGGCAGTTATACTGGGAACCTGGACTTAATCCAAATTTCCATTGATTTTAGGGTGTTTTATTCAAGCTTGTGATATTATATGCCGTAAGCACGTATTACGTTGCAATAAATATCTCTTATGCCTTCAGAAGAATCTTCTTGTGGGACCAGAATTAGAACAGTACTCAAAACATCTCTCCGTTTAAGGGATGAATTGGATTATCTGTTCTTTACATATTCAGTGTTCCATTGAGACATACCTAGCAGAAATGCAGTATATTTGGTTTTTATACAGGTCTTTGACTGGTGGCTTTATCAGTGTTTGTATCTTTCAGAGTTGCATTTAATGTTTTCACTGATGGATAAGGTTCCAAATGGCATAGAGCCTATGCTAAAAGACTTGGAAGAACATATTGTTAGTGCTGGACTTGCAGATATGGTAGCAGCTGCTGAAACTATTACTACTGTAAGTGTATTGTTTTTTAATAAAATAGCAATGAAAAAACAACTTTGCAGAGGTTAAATACTCTCTAATTGTGGGACATACATAATTTTTGAAGATTTTATGTTTAAACATAAAATTTAATCCACTGAAAATTTTAAATGTCTTTAGAATAATTTTTTATTCCTTATGTTTTCAGTTGTAGCTTTAAAACGTGAATCCAATTTGCAGTAGAGAAAAGGTTATAAATGAAGTGCATGGAATACTTATACGATAGGATTGTGTTAGCATCTTAATTAAAAAGGCATAATCAATTTCTTCAGAATTGTGGCTTCCTGATGAAATTTGAAATTTGCTTTCAATCTAGGAGTGGTTGTCCAGTGTGGAAATCAAAAGGTTTTTTTCCCACTGTTCTTTTTCATTTTTTTATCATCTTTTTCTCTGGGTCTAGGGTGCCGGAGTATTATGCAGTATTTGAAGGTTACATACTTTTTCCTCTGTGTGTATATATATGTTTGCATATTGGAAATACTATCCTGAAAGTCTGTGTTGAGGCTTATATACTGTAAGCCTTCAGTACAGAGAATAAAGTGCTCATTCATAGTATGCAGGCTTGAGGATGCTACATTATTACAGATTAGAGAATTACATGTACGCTCACACTGAATTCTGTGTAGCCTTGGTTTTTTATTTGATTTTTTTTTTCCTCTTTAACTTTAGGATTCTGAGAAATACGTAGAGCAATTGCTCACACTATTTAATCGATTTAGTAAGTTGGTTAAAGAAGCTTTTCAAGATGATCCAAGATTTCTTACTGCAAGAGATAAGGTATGTGTTTCTGCTGATCATTTGTTTTCAGTTTAAGAATTGTTGTAATTCGTATTATGTCTCTGAAATCTTTGTGCCCATTCACTGTTAAATCTAGAAGCTGCTCATACTCTAGTAAATAATGCAGACTAAAATACTGATGAAACTTAATACCAGCTGATTAGCTTTTAATTTGTGTAGTCATGCATAAAGTTGCATTTGTGTTCAGCTTTTTAATGTTGTAGAGCACGTCAGATGATGATCTTTCTGTTGAGCACCTTAATGTCTGATTCCGCAATATATTTATGTTTAGAATTTACTACATATTTGGGTGCAGTCTCATGATGCGCTGCTCAATGCAACCCCTTCCTAAGTTGTTGCTTAAAGGAAAGTAGTATGTTAATGGAAAAGAGGAAAACTCAAAACATCAGTTAATGGGAAACTGAGTCATAGGATTTGAACTCTCATATTGAAAATCAAATCCGCAAACTTTGGGCTAATAAAAAAAAACCGGATTAATTTCATGTTACAGTAATCTAAGAGAGATATAAAACCTTTGTCATTCATACATTAAAGAGAGAAACTGAGTGAAACACTAAAAATCTGTAATTATTTTTCAGGCATACAAAGCAGTTGTGAATGATGCTACAATATTTAAACTTGAATTGCCATTGAAGCAAAAGGGGTAAGCCATATAAACTTTATGTGAATCAAGGTTTTTAAATTGTTGAAGATTGAGCTTCTCTTTTAAAATATCTTCAAAAAGTAACGCTGTGTTTAAAAGTGCTTTGTATTCTTTGCATTATGGAATTTCAGATTGCTTATCAACCTCTGATAAGACACTCTTCACATGGCAGTGGATCAGTGAATAGCAGCCTGTTCAAACTCAAATTATTTGTAGTAATTGGGGATCTATTCTTTTATAGTAGAGTAATGAGTCAATTTGTTAGCTGAATTTAGTAATACCTTCCTGGGTTATTAATTCCAAAAACTACTGTAGCATCATCTTGTTCAACTTTAATCTGCTTTTAATTCCAAGCTGTTAGTCTGCTGTTTATACCTGTTAGAAAAAAATTTTATCCTGTTACTATGTGGTAGATGTGTCAGGTTTTGCAGTCTATGAAATGCAGTGCAGGAGGCTGTTCTTGAGGCTTTCATTAGAGTATACTGACAAGATGAGTGAAATGTTTCACTGCAGCAGTTGTTAATTCTTTACTGGAATACTTATTGCTGTGCAATATTTAGTTGTTTCAAACTGTAGTTTGAACGTAATCCTTCATTGTTAAGAGTTCTAAAATTAAAAGCAGTTGGAGTGATCAAGCTGTAGGAGCTGTCTGAAAATGTTTGGTAGTATTTATACTTACAAGAAGAAAAGGGAGTTATCCCTAATTTTTCATTAGTTTAACAAGGATATGAATTCACCACCAGGATCCT